ACAGCATATTATATTGTTGGAAAATAATATATCAAACTCTCAAACGCGAAACGGGGGCATAACATACTATTTTAATTAAGGGTAGGTAACGTCCTAATAAGGTAGGTAGGTACTATACGACGCAATATATTATTGTTTTGAAGATGACATATTAAATTCCGTATTTTCTAATTTATTTGAAACTAATTAATAAATATTAATTGTATCGGATCATCAATAGAACATCCGCTTAATATGATGAAAATGATTAATAATTAATTAAGTGAGGCACTAGACAGAGTAATTCTGTTTCAAACCTAGGCCCTGCGGTTTTTAAGTATTACATACAGTGTAATATGTACCTAGTAAACAGTGTACATGAATATTAGTTTCGAAATTGAATCACGGCCAGTGGTATACTTTATATTTTAATTATACATTTTTTTCGCTAAATAATAAATTAAAAATATATAAATTGTTTATGTATCCCCTTTGTATAGACCTTTGCATCTCTTGCCATTTTCTGCGGTTCAAATTTCATTATAAACAAAACATTTCACATTCACCGGGGCGCTTAGGTAGGTTATTATAGGTGCTTGGGTTGTATTATGGAAATACTATTATAACGAGGGATAGGGTCTGAGGAGGATCGGGTCGGCTGACCCACAATTTTTCCTCAATATTATGCAGCCTTATTCAGAATATTTTAATTTGAAAAAAAAAACGGTGAAGACATTCTGCTGTATATATTAGTAAGTACCTATATAGACTGAGAAAATTGATTTTTAGTTGATGACACTGAATAATGTTGAATGTTGATTATCCAAAGGTGCAAATAGCGGTGACTAGGGGGGGGGGGGGGGCAGCTGACTGCTGTACTCCAACATTTTTGGAACGACATATTTGTGTGAATAACTTTATTCACCAATACAAATAATTAAGTTGAAATATCGTTAAAATTTAACTAATGATCGTATCAAAGCTGATCAATACAACCAGCCAGGTCATAAAAAACTAATTAAAACAAGAGACACGGTAAAAATACTTCAACCCAAAAATATTTATTTATACAATTTTTTTATGTACCTACTTGTATGTATTTGTTATACGTGTATTAATTTATTTGTTCTATTAAAACGTTATACAAAAAAAAATCTAAATATTAATAAGTACATTTTTGTTTTTGTTAATAACACACTAACCGCAAGTTGGCCACCACTGATATAGAGTTTAAATCATCATAGAAGTCGCTTTTACAAATGTGTTAAATTTTAATAATAATATATCATCACACACAAAAAAAGATTTTGATTGGATACGGTATCTATTTTTAAGGATATTTTAAAATGTACTTATAAAGTAGCTTCTTTTTCTATTAATTACTCATTTAGTAGGAATTAATTTTTTCAGAAAATGTAAATACTATGATATTTATAAAAAATTAGTTTTAATATATCTAAGAAATATTTTAAAAATATTATTGTGTATAGAAAATAATATACCTAAATAATAGTGAGAAATTTAAGTCCTTGTGATTAATATTTTTTAGATAACCACAAAATAACTAAATTTGTTTTGGGGAAATTGTTTAAATATCCATTCATTTTTTTCCTGATTATTGTGAAATCTACTTAGAATCTTATACCCTGAAGTACTACTAACTAGATCCAATTTGCTACAGGAAACATTTCTATTTTAGCCTCAATATTCAATCATTTTCTTTAGAGGCAAAAACCACCAACTACCCACACTTCATCGTAATAACATAATACGAGTTGTGGCGATATCAAAATATGAAATATAATATTAATTAAACGGCAAACAAAGCGATAGTAAGCTTTGTATACACATTTAGTTGGTTGATGGGCACATAGAGTATAATGTTACGATGATTTTCGTGAGCTAGGTTGACCCATCATACTATCATACTGAAATTCTGGGTACGCCACCGATTATAATCATCCACCCATTCAACATATAATATTCTGCCCTTAAATTCATAATACCTATTTAATATCCCACGCACTTATAACAGTCTATTGAGAATTGAATATAACCTTTTCGAGGTTTTTTTCCCCATGGAATATCAACCAGCCATTATATAGTTGTAAATATATGTATAATGTATGTATACGTGTGTATATATATATATATATATCTAAAGCACGAATATAATCAAAATGATTTTGCACCACTCGTGTTGTGGGCACATTGTATATAGTCTTACTCGACGTGGCGCAAGGGACGTACCAGCCATTCGATTTGTTCATTAGTGTTTAACGCAAAACAATTTCATTTTAATTCGCATATTATTATCAAACCATTTAAAATTTCGTTTCCATTGTACATTATAATAATATATTATAAGCTATAATTTATAACGTAATACTCGCGAATAAACGGCATAAAATATATATTACCCCCCACTAGGTACCTACGTATTTATGTGGAATATAAATTTAAGACTTATCCTTCTTACTATATTATTATAATATGTATATTGTAAAGCGTAGTGTATGAACTGATACGTCCTTATATTATACTAGTAACTGAAAAAACGTACCATCCCTTTAGTAAATAATACGTATTAAAGTAGATACCTCAACTGTTGCCTTCCAATCACGGTTGACACACGAGTTTTGATAAATAAAAATAATGTAAAAAAAATGGTACTTTGACCTTAAAGTAGAATATTTATTTGCCGTTTGAATCGGAGAAAAATATCCGGAAGGTATATAAACACTATGGATGATCGACATTTATTTTCGCTCTGTGTACTCGTATTTTATATTTATTACAGATCGGCAATCGATACAAAATAATACGTTCGGAAAACTAATCTGAGTGGAACTTGATTAAAACCGCACTTGCTAACAATTCTATTCGCCCCCCCCCCAGGGCTGCAGTGGCTACCGAGAAGAATGAAAAAAAAAAAAAAATAGTAATCCCTTCCATATAAAATAGCTACCTACCAACAACTGGATAAAATAATTTATATTAACGGACGTGACTAATTGAGACTATAGGAGTAGACTGGAAAAAAAGGCGAGAAAAAGAAACGTTATTGTAAAAGACATTTTTCGCTTCTCTAGGAATCGAAAATACTTAACCCCAGAACACTTTTCATTTGTCGATTCCACGAACGCTGATCATTTTATACTGATTTTATTCTTATTTTAGTATTTTTATCGTAGGTACGCTTTTCTGACTCCCGTCAACATTTTATTCCAATCAGTTTGTCATAGACGACTTCGTTTATTCTGTAAATTCCAAGTCCTAGCTCGCTTCAATTACTAATAAGTAATTCACATCAAATTGATCAGAAATAGTCTAAACCAGTAGTACTTAAACAGGATGTAATATAGAAATACCTGACGAATGAAAAATGTATACTAGTTAAACGTATGAAAAAATTATGAAAATTATATGGATGATAAACAATTTAAGATTTACGTATATTATGTCTAAAGATTACCAAAAATAATATTTTTAAAAGGGTTATTAAACGTTCAGACGTTCTACGTAATTTTTTCCAAAAAAATATTGATATTTAAAAAAAAGAATTTATCTATTAGTCACATTTTAAAATTTCTTTGCAATTTCTTACGAATTTAATTTTTCAAGAAACATAAACAGTATATTATAAAAATGACTAGGTGTTGTTTAGGGTTCTGGACAACCACGGGTTGACCAGTTATTGACTTGAGTACAATATTTTAACAATTGTGGTAATTGATAAACATTCTCAAATCACCACCTTGAAAAGAAGTAATGACATTAAATAATTATATAAATAAACCGCATACGTATAATATGTGATGAAAAATGTTTTGCCTCTATTTGACCAGCATTTTGAGAAAATATTATTTTTAATATTTAATTTGTGTTTATAAGTTTATTGTTCAAACTTTTTATATTTTCAATCAATAAACGAAACCTATCATTATTATATTCAACTTGAATAACTAATATTTTTCACATATTGGACGTATTATGCATAAACAAAACGTAAAACAATAAAATAATATTATGTTATGGGGGTTTATTTTATTTTAAAATTTAAATAAGTATAACGTATAACGTATACCTACCTACAATAATAGGTACTGATGTGAAAAATGTCAATTAAATAACAGTATTTACGACAACAACTAAGTGTTAGGTATGGTTATAATGTGAAAAGTAAGTAGGTACCATTAACTTTCGTACGTAATCGAAAAATGTAAAAGATTATTTTTATTGAAAAAAATCATTAATTTAAACAAAATATGTCTTCTATGGTGTCCCTAAATCCGTTGTCAATCGCGATTCTGTAGGCTACGCTGCTTAATGTTTATGCTTTAAATTCGAGCCATATATAGACCATAATGTACCTAGGTACATGCTAGGCATTAATATTATTGTTTTGTATAATATATTTATAAAAAAAACAAGACTCCTTTAATTATATTACTGACGTAAATTGTTATTGTTGACATACGAAGCGCAACAAAAGACATTTTAATTTATCCGTATTTAATCAATATTGCCATTTAACCAACTGCCGCAGAGTTCGCAAAGATTATAACCTATAGGTCAGTGTACTGGCCGACGCCAAATCCGCCACGGAAATTCGTATAACAAAGGTAATTTAATTACAAGTTGGCTATTACTAAAAGTTGGTTTTGTGATATTGAAAAATACAGAAACGCATCCAACAATATTGTAGACCGCAAGTTTCGCATTAAAATACATGTTTGGTCGTTGAAGTGAAATTAATATTTTAAACGTACCTATACAAATATATATTTATACAATAGTCGTACACACATTCGTATCACATTAAACTATACTCGAAATATCGCAAGTACTGCTATATCATTAAAATGACAACAACTGAGTGCTTTCTACACCTTCCGTACCCTCCGACCATCGTTGAATGAAGATACTTACGTAATAAAGTTATACGTTTATATAATATTCCTTATATTATTATTATTATTATTATATGGACATGTCTGATACGACGAAAAAATAGTTACCTTTAATAACACCGACTCGCTCAGCTTCTCCCGGTTAATTATTTTTATTGCTACATTTCTCCCGGTGACGCAATGAATGCCGAGCTTCACTAAACCTGAAATAAAAAAAAAACAAACATTTCGATATTATCGATACCGTATAGTGTTGTACTTATTTAAGAATTATTTCTAGAATTGTTTATATAGCAAACAACACGTTTACAATATAATATTGACATCTGTCGAGAAAATATAAACTTGTTATTGCAGTCAGGTATGGCGCTTGGATATTATAATAGTAATAACAATATGTACTTATACTTTAGAGGTAGGTCACCTATATGTGATTGTAGTCGGACGAGTGGTGATGAATAACGAGGGAGATATTTTAACAATAGTTCAATTGATTTGGGGTAGGTATGCTTATAAGTCTTACCCCATAATATTATATACCCATTGATAAATATTTCATAAAAAAAGATAAAATATGTATTGCATCAAAATTAAACATAATATAAATAATATTTTTTTTTTATTTTAATAATTTTTATAAAACATAATATATATAGGTATATTATATTTTTTTTTTCATTTTTACGGGAAACTCGATATGATTTCTTTTCATTAAAAATTGATCAAGTATTATGTAAGAGCATTTTTTCATTTACTTTTTAATAAGCTTCATTTCGAAAATCAAAGTTCAACTCACAAACATTTTTCAATGACTAAATTCAAACGAATCAGACTTTCCGCTGCGAAATCGAAAACTTGTGTATCGCTTCACTTTCCACGGTAACAATAATGTATTATACAATAATATAATGGTGTTGTATTTTTTTTATAAGATTGTAAGTAATGGAAACCATTCTGAACAAAACTCAGTTTTCAATAACGTTGTAAATTATTTATTTCCATAATTATTATGGATCATAAAAAAATAAATAAAATATCTCTGATCAATGACTTATGGGAAATGTGTTTAAATGACAAGAGTAGGTATAACACAATATTAATTTTAAATTGCAATATCCATAATGAATGGAATATTTCACTGCGCATTTAAACTTTCAATACATTTTCCAGTCTAATCAAAAACGTATTTTTTTAAACCAATTTTATTTAAAACTAATTTATTTACTTCTTACGCCGTGTTCTGATTTGATTATAATATCATACAGTCTATGCCTTTTATACAAAGACACGATGTAGGACACATTTTAAGTTAAACACTCATTATTTGTTGACAAATACTAACGTTATTGGAAACGTTTCTTTTTTTTTAATTTCAGTTTTTACCATGAACATCATCACTTTTTAAGTATTTTATTTTTTTTAGACGACGAGATACATATTTAATTTCATAGTTAGGAATTAAAACATCAAAAAGGAAAAAAGTAGAAAACCACTCTACTTTTCATTGCTTAGTGCACCTCGTTATTGAATATTTGAATATGTCACTGTAATGTCGTATGTCAGCTTTGTTGTATCTATTATAAGTATATTATAGGTAATAAAAGCATCTATTTATCTATCTGTTTAAATAAAATGATTATCTGAGATAAATTATTGAGATAGGATTTTCAATTTTATTTTCATAAAGGCACCTTTATGCCTATTCCGCCTATTATGTATACAATATAGATTACAAAATGTTGTATAGGTTTCTATATATTCAATGTAATTTGTAAACACCGAAGTAAAATTGTATTCCATACTCATGTATTTTGTAATTACTAATGTAGAAATGTAAACTTAATTATAGTAGTAGGTATATATTTATGTTTATGGAAAAAATGGTATATTACAAATGCAAGTTTTAAATTAACTGTTATTGTTCTAGATACTTTTAGTCATCGTTTATCTATTATCTAGATAAATATTTTAAGTGTTATCTATATGACTATATTATACAATTTCAATGAGTTATTCGTCTACTTATTTAGATCATTTTTGGGTATTTTTTGTACAACCCCTTGTTTGTATTAAATTTGAATTCAATGACAAATCATAGTATACGAAAAACGATTATGAGGGAAGACAGTATGTCAGCCTATATTACTAAGTACATTTCATGATTTGTTTTTGATATTGCTACTAAAGTAATTTATTTTACTATTATACTCTTTTCAGAATAAGAACGCACCAGATTTACGTAACAAAACCGGTTTTGTCCGTGGCCGCCTAACCTTTTTCTGAAAAGAGTATAGTATTATGGTAGGAGGTAGGTTTATTTAATTTTTGCCGAAAACCTGAAGACATTGCATTTAATATATTATCAAATATATTTACTGGTGGGAATAAGTAGCACAATATTCAAGTGATGGTCAATATTAAAACTAACATCATATACGAAAAAATATATGATTGATACGTATTATTTATATTTACATAGCCCTGTACTATTCCATTCTACTCATCTAAACATTAAATACCTAGAACCAATAAATGAGTTACTAGGTACCTAGTTTTAAATTCTAATTTTATATTATAATGAAAATTTCAAAAAAATTTTCTGCATCAGAATATGAAATTAAAAATGTATGCAGCACAAACTACAAGTAAAAATTCCAAAAACAATAACAATAAAAAAATAATTGATTTTCCAAATATGTTATTTTATAATGACTTCAGATTATGAAAAAAAAAGTTTATTTTTTGGAAAAAATATTAATTACCTTAAATGAATTGAATTTTATATTATAATATTTATTGTTACATCGAAAGTAATAATGACTGAGATTTACCGGTTACATAAATATTCACTTGGTAGGTACGTCCAATTTTTTTATTAATTGTCAAGTTAATTTAAATGACACCTGGGTCACTTGCAAAGTGTGGTAGCATTCTACAAGAAAAAATGGATGATTATTTTATTACCCACTCGAATATTCAGATTTACATAATTTTCAAGCTCATGCACACACAATCGTAATAAATACAAAACAGTCATATTTTTCATGTGAGCTGGTTTTATCGTTTTAATAATGACCATCGGTTAATATTCTGCTACCCATTTCGCTCGGGTCCGATAGGATGTCATTTACATAAATAGTTTTGTCCGTTTATAATAATATATTAATTGATAAAAACCGACAAACCCGAATTTCAATTTGTTATAATTCAAAAACGACTAACCGTAGATACCTACTTGAAATCTTCACCAAATTTATGTAGTAACATTTTCTATATATGAAAAAATAATCAAAATATTTTGAATCTTTATAAGCTACTTATATAGACGCGTGAAATTTTAAATTTTTTTTCAATAATTGTTAAAATATTGATAAAATATTTTTTAGTTTAGTCAGAAGTTTTAAAATGGATTATAACGTCTCTCGTTGTTGATAATAATGAAATTAAAAAAAAAAAAATTGAGTATAAATACATATGAAACTTTATTTTTATGAGCGTTTAAGTTAGAATTTATATGAATTTCGTCAAAATAGCTAAAAATTGACAATTATTTCATAATTTAAGATTCTCCTAGAGTTTACCTAATATTAACACCTAATATTTGAAAATGTAAAAAAAGGTTTCTCATATAATGTTGATATTAGATGAAATAGAAAAATGTGGAGCGTAATTCCACAAATACTTTTTACAAGCGTCTGAAGTTTAAATTATTTTGAAAAGTTCTGGGGATTTTCACTTTGATCCCACAAAATAACCAGATCTAATTTTCCACTAAAAACCCCTTTCAAAGAGTAGAGTTAATTTTTTTTCTGCTCCAAAAGCGAAAGGTGATGACAGATACCAAAAAAATTTCAAATCATTGTAAAAACATGTCCTTCATCGATTCACTCAGAATCCAAAAAACAGGATTATTAATTACAGTTGATGATTGATGTTTTAATCTATAGTAAATAACATTTAGATTATTATTTAGATAAGCTAGATAATAGATATATTAAGTACTTTTTTTTTGTTTTTAAGTTTTTATGATATAGTCAACAAGGTATAGTATTTTTATATTTTTTTGGCATTTTTAATAATTGCTGATATAATAAAATTATTTATAAAAATGTATAAAGAGTAATGATACACAATTACACATAATATGTTATATTTAGTAATGGTAGAAATAATATATAATGATAGTTGATAATAAATGCGGTCATTCTTGTCAATCCCTCATGTGGATTCTTGGATATAGGAATATAGCAGGCAACGAAAAAGCCCACGAGGTCGCCAAACATTCGCACATGTCATCTACAGCTATCACTATACCAGAATTATCCTAAATTCATAAAAAACTACACAGTCGAAATGTGGCAACAATATTGGTTAAATCAAACAAAAACGAAATTAAAAGATCAATACTCCCATGGCCACCCCCCCCCCCGTCTGTTCCAGAAGACAAGAAACAATTATAAACCGCCTAAGAATAGGTCATACCTCATGTTCCCACCGATACCTTATGACAATAGAGGATCCACCCAACTGCTCCACCTGTGGTGTACAACTCACGATCAAACACGTCTTCACCGAGCGCATAAATAACCAACAAGATCGTAATGAAACCCTCGGAACCACTCACCTATACGGAATCCTCAGTCCAGAAGCAACCGCAATTCAAAAATTATTTATTTTTCTAAAAAAATCCACTTTATATAAAGAAATATAACTTGTATAATATATAACATGTAATAATGCTATATGTAAATATGTACCTAATAATAATGTAATTTACTGCCAGACCAATGGCCAGAGCTGCAGCGGTCTTTTATGATTAATAAAAAAAAAAAAAAATTAAATAAATGTGGTTCAGATGATAAAGTAAATATAGGAGTTAAAAAATATATTTATATAAAATATAGTATAATAACATTTTTAAGTACCTACTAAATGCTTTATTAAGAGTAAGGATGTTATAGGTTTTTTTTGTAATTATCAGAGATATATGAAATGTTCCCCTCATGCTATTATACTTAATAGACATTTATATATAAATAATATATATATGGTATAATTTTAAAAATAGTTTCACTCTTTTTGATCTATGAATAAATATGAAATAGTTTTATTTTTTTTTATTTTTATTCTATTATTGAAGATAAAAAAATTACTCTTGATCAAAATGATTAAAAATGTGATAAAAAATACTGAAATAAATTCA